GTCCGCCTCGATGGGAGTCACGTGACATAGCCATTACGCCAACTGCTGGTTCCGGGACTCTTAAGGAATTTTTAAAAATGAGTATATTTTTGAATATTTCTGTATTTTTTGAAGAATCCGGATTAATGGGTTACTTGCATTTCATATCTTGCAACTGTAGTTTGTGAGACATAGATTTTAGAGTTTGTTCTTTGACATGGGGCATTCATATAACATTTATTCAAAGGTCAAAATGAAAATATTAAAGGGTTTTTACTTACAACTATTTTCTTGCTGATGAATTTGAATTGGTTTGTGATTCTCAGCTTTTTAATTTGTTGTAAATCGCATCAGTGATTTGTTTTTATGTTTTGGGGTCTGAGTATAGATGTGTAAATACCAGATTTAGTATGTGTGCAAGAGGAGGGTCTGAGGAAGGAGATTTAGAAGAAAAATAGGGAGGCAGAGTATATTTTATCTTATTTTTTTTCTTTTGAATGAATTGAATGTTTAAAATAAAATTTTCAGAATAACATTGAGTTATGTATTGCTAGATATAGCTATATATTGAGTGAATGTGAAAAGCTAATAGATTTTGTGTTATTAAATCTAGTATACCATCACATTGTGTATGCTCCTGTTCACCCCTAATTTTTATTAATTTTTTTTTGTCATAGGACACATGTGCTTGCCTGAGAGAGACAGAGAGAGGGAAAGTGAGGAGAAATCATCAACCGGGGAAAAGGTCACATTGCAAACTCTTTTCCTCCATTCTCCTCTTGGGATTTTAAGCACACAAGCACAAATGCCTGGTGTGATTTTCAAGCCTCTAGGTTTGGGACTTGAACCGTGGTCAACCATGTGGTGTATAGTACTTTAACCACCATGACACTTACTGGATCCCCAAATTATGATCTTATAATACAGTTGTCTCAATACTAATCGACAGCTAAAAATGAGATGAAAATAGGTTAAATAGATCTATTTTGATCCATGGAATACTTTCAAAATAAAATAGGAGTGATTCCACTAACTAAGGTATCTGAAGTAGTTAAAGTCACAGAAGCAGACGGCAGAATGGCGGCTGACAAGGGATTGGTGAAAGGAGGAATCTGAGTTATTTTCCTTTTTAAAAAGATTTATTTTAACTTAATTACTGTTGTTATTATTATTGTTCAAAATGACCAAAGAGAAAGAAAGAGAGAGAGAGAGTGAATAAGTAAGCCACCAGGTCTGGGACTTGAAACACAGTCGGCCATGTGCGAGTCCAGCATCTTAGCCAGCATGCCAACTTCTGGCCCCAGAATTAATTTTGTATGGATATAAAGATACAGTTATTGGGTCAGCTGATGGTGTGATGGTTTAAGTGGCTGGATCACACATGGTCAACGTTCAGTTAAAGTCCCAAACCTGACAGCTTGACAAAAATGGCAGGCATGTGTACATGCACTCCTAACATCTTGAAGGAAGAGAGTATTGTGGCATGGCCCTTCCCTATGGGGATGATTTCCTATATCCCCTTCTTTCTCTGTGTCTGTCTGGTGAGTGCATGTGCCCAATAGCAAAATCAATACAAAACAAAACAACAAAAATAAAATCCCACTGTAACATCACATTTTACTCCATAAATATGGACTATTATATTTTGTCAATAAACAAATGAGCTAAAAATCCTGTAGAAGCATGATCTATGTGAACAAAGGAGGGACAGAAGAAGTCCTAAGTGGAGATAACACTATGAAAGCCTAAAGCAGATTAGATTCATACAAAAATATAAAAAAATCCTTTGTGACCACAAACTATTAACTACAACATTTCAACTATGTGAGCAATATCTGTTTGTGTGAATTTAACCATGTTATTTTCTTCTTTTCAGGTAGTCACCATGGAACCAGAAAATGATACACAAAGTTCAGAATTTCTTCTTCTGGGTCTTTCAAAGGAACCAGAATTGCAGCCCCTCATATTTGGGCTTTTCTTCTCCATGTACCTGGTCACTGTGTGTGGAAACCTGCTCATCATCCTGGCCACCATCTCAGACTCACACCTGCACACCCCTATGTACTTCTTCCTCTCCAACCTGTCCTTTACTGACATCTGTCTCACCTCCACCACCGTCCCAAAGATGCTGGTGAACATCCAGACACAGAGCAAGGTCATCACCTATGCAGGCTGCATCACCCAGATGTTCTTTTTCATACTCTTTGGAGAGGTAGATGACTTTCTCCTGACTGTGATGGCCTATGACAGGTATGTGGCCATCTGTCACCCTCTGCACTACACTGTCATCATGAACTCCTGGCTCTGTAGACAACTGGTTCTGGCTTCATGGACCATGAGTGCCCTGTATGCATTATTACATAGCCTAATGGTGTTGTGGCTGTCCTTCTGTCCACATGTGGAAATCCCCCACTTCTACTGTGATATTAGTATGCTGACCCACCTTGCCTGCTCTGACACCTTTCTTAATGACATGGTGATCTATTTTTCATCTGTGCTGCTTGGTGGTGGTCCCCTCACTGGGGTCCTTTACTCTTACTCTAAGATAGTTTCCTCCATTCGTGCAATCCCATCAGCTCAGGGAAAGTACAAGGCATTTTCCACCTGTGCCTCTCACCTCTCAGTTGTCTCTTTATTTTATTGTACAATTCTTGGAGTGTATCTTAGTGCTGGTGCTGCCCACAGCTCATACTCAAGTGCAAGAGCCTCAGTGATGTACAATGTGGTCACTCCCATGCTGAACCCCTTTATTTACAGTCTGAGGAATAAAGACATAAAGAAGACCCTGAAAAGATTATTTTGGGGAAAGGTATAAAAAAGACTTTTTTTTGGAATAGAATAAGGTGCTCTGATTTCCAACCTCAATGTCTCAGAGCTAATTTCTTGATTCTTGATCACATTTGGGGAGTAGAATTCGATCCTCCTCTGACTGCTGGGTGTTTATATTCCTCCAATTTTAATCCCTTTGTATAATTTTAGTAAGCTTTTAAATTAAATTTTTGCTCTCTCTAATATTCAGTGACTTTCCTTTGATCATTTTCCCACTTTCCTGACATCATTTCCAATCTCTCAACAAAATTATTTGTAAATTCTCAGTCATCTTGTCAGATAATGTGGGCTTCAAAGGTATCATTTCTTCTCAAGTGGCATAGATCATAGCTATTATTATTATTATTTTTACTGAACCTACAGTACTGAGTTGTAATATTTTCTGGAAACTAAAAATCTGTGCTAAAAAGTAAAACCATTTAATCCTTTGAGGGAGAAATATATTTGAAACCACAGTTGTCTTTTTTTTTTTTTCATTTTTGGTCCATCATTCCATCATATATTAGGACCTTAATGGCTCTTGAATATAATGTGTACTTTGGTGTCTATTGTGTATTTTAACTGGTCAAAAGGATTATTTTTTAATTTATGTTTTTAAAGCAAATATAGACTTTTTTTAAAACAGAGAAGTTAACAATCTTTTGTCTGTTAATTGTTCCTTCCCTTTTTTCCTTCCACCCACTTTCAACCACCCAGTGCCCTCTCTTACAATCTCTGGTGTCTACACTTATCCTCTCTACTCTCATATCTTTGGATCTTTCCATGTCTGATATTGAGTGCAAACATTCCATGCATACTGAGTGGGGATATTCAGTGCCTTTCTTTCAAAGTCTGGCCTGCTTTGGTTAATATTATGTCCTCTGTATTCAACTACTTTGAATCAGACATTAGGGGTTTCATTGTTTTTGCAGAGCTGAGTAATATTCCATAGTATATATGTGCCACTGGTTTTCAACCCAGTCTTTAGTTTTTGGACACTTGGATTGACTCTATGTCTTAGCAATTGTGAATAATGCTGCAAATAAACATGGAGGAAAAAGTGTCTTTCCAAGTGAGTGTTTTCCTGTTTTTTTTTTTTTTTTTTTGGTAAATATCAAGTAGGGGGATTATTGGATCACATGATTGTTCTATTCGTAGGTTTTTGAGGAACCTGTACATTGTTTTACACAGAGGTTGCATGAATATACATTCCCAACAAAAATGTAAGACTTGTTACAATGGTTGTAAAGCCTTGTTAGCAATGGTTGTTCCTTTTTTTAAAATTTATTTTATTTTTATTATTCTACCGATGGTTGTTATGTCTTTATTTTTTTATTCTAGCTATTCTAACTGGAGTTAAATATTATCTCACTTTTTTTTTTGAGAGTTCTTTTTTCTACAGGGAGTATGCACTCAACAGAAAGAGAGAGACAGAAAGTGAGAAATCATCCCCTGGGGGGATGGCCAAACTGCAATTCCTTCTCCTCCATTCTCCTTTTGGGATCTTGGGCACACATGCACACATATCCAGCATGAGTTTAAGCCTCCAGGTCTGGGACTCGAACCGCAGTTGACTACATGGGAGTCCAGTGACATAGCCATTATGCCAACTGCTGGTCCCAGTGTTATCTCATTTTTATTTTATTTTATTTTAATTTATTTTGTACATTCAATCAGTATACATCACTTAGCTTGAAAAGTGAATTTATCCAACATGAATACATTTTATGCTAGTCCAATTCAGGGCACTATACACATTATCATAAACAGATAATAATCCGTTTCTGTGTCCCATAAATGTCTTGCTTCTCTATGTTTCTCCTAAATTTCTGTCTTCACACTCTCCCCCTTCTCCCACTGTCTTCCCACACTGTCTTCAGTATCCACAACCATTTTCCATGCTTCTATATCCTCTAAGCTTTCAGTTTATGCCATAGAGTACCAACACTCTGTATATATTAAGTGGAGACATACAATGTCTCTCTTTCATGGCCTGACTTTCTTCATTCAGTTGTAGATCTTCCACTTTTATCCACTTTCAATCAAAAGCAAGAGTCTTGTTTTTTTATGGCTAAGTAGTATCCCATAGAGTAAATGTGCCACATTTTTTCAATCCATTCATCTGTTCATAGACATTTGGGTTGGTTCTATGCATTAGCAACTGTGTATAATGCTGCAAGAAACATATATGTGCACTTTTCTGCTGAGTATTTCTACCCAATCCTTTGGGTAGAAAACCAGGAGTGGAATTGCTGAATCATATGGTAGTTCTATTTGTAGATAATTGAGGAACCTCCATATTCTTCTCCCTTATCAGTCTCTTATCTGCAGCATAGTTTACAAAAATATTCTCTCATTCTGAGGATTTCCTATTAGCACTAAATACTGTGTTTTTTGCTGTGCAGAAACCATTTAATCTGATGTAATCCAAATTGTCTATTTTGGGATTATTGTCTGTGCTTTGAGGGTCTTATTTAAGAAGTCTTTGCCTACACCAATTTCTCCCAGAGTTTTCCCAGTGTTGTCCACCAGTATTTTTATAGTTTGAGGTCTTGGTTTAGATCTTTGATTCAGTTTGAGTTGATCTTTGTTAATAGTGAGAGACAGGGGTCCAGTTCATCTCTCTATGGGTAGATACCCAGATTTTCCTGTACTGTGTTCTAAAGAGGTTTTCTTTTTCTCACTGGATTGATTGGTACTCTTTGTCAAAAATCAGTTGGCTTTATATATTGAGATTTATTTCTGGATTCTCTACTATGTTTCATAGATCCACATGTCTTTTTGTGTGTGTGTGTGCCAATACCATGCTGTTTTGATTATCACAACTTTGTAATATACCAGGGTCAAGGAGTGAGATGTCTCCTTCTCCACTTTTTTTTTTTTTTTTGCACAAGATTGCATTGGCAATACGGGGTCTTTTATGATTCCAGACAAATTATGATTGTCTTTTCTAGATCCATGAAGAATGTCTTTAGTATTTTGATTGGGAATGCATTAAATATGTAGATTAATTTGGGTAGTAGAATTGCTATTTTGATTATATTAACTCTTCCAATCCAGGAACATGGGATGTCCTTCCCCTTTTTTGGTGTCATTTTCTATTTTCTTTGTTAGGTTTTAATAATCTCCTTGTTGAAGTCTTTGACTTCTTTGGTTAGATTCATCCCTAAGAATGTTATACTTTTTGTGGCTATGGTAAATGGGATTACTTTTTTGTTGTTCTTATAGAGAAATGCTATAGATTTTTGTGTGTTGATTTTGTATCCTGCCACTTTATTGTATTTATTTATTACTTGCAAAAGATTTTTTT